TGTAAAATAATGAAAAATAACCTAATTTAAATAAAATTAGAAAAATCAAAATCTAATTTTAATTAGATTAGGAATATCCTATTATTTTAAAATATGTGACATGATTTGATTAAAAATCTTATTATTTTGAAATATGTGACATAATTTAATTGAAAATCTTATTCTATAATAAGATAGTAAAAAATAAACCTAATTAAATAAAATTAGGAAAATCTTAACCTAATTTAATTTAGACAGGATTATTATAATATTTTTTTTAATTTGATTTAACTATATGTCAAAATATTTATATATTTATCTTTATTTGTAAAATACTGAAAAGTAGACCTAATTTAATTAGGGTTAGAAAAATCTAAACGTAATTTAGATAGGACTATTAAAAAAATTAAATTATTTAGAAATCTATGAAATAATTTAATCGGATATCAAATAATATAAGAAATAAATATGAAAATAAAAAATAGATAAATATTTGACAGACTTCTCTATAAGTAATTTTGTACAAATATTCTCAATTTTATTTTATCTCTTTGTGGGGATGACCTAATTTTGTCTTTTGTTTTTTCGTGTTTGATTTATTTATGGGAGTTATAAAATATTTAGAGAGTAAAAATTGTTCAAATACAAATATGAAAATAAATTTATCAAAATTGTGAGAAATTGAAATTTGAGTAGTAAAATAGGAAATTTTTTTTACACCTAATGTAATTTTAATATCAATAAGAAAAACAAATGATTTGAAAATATGTTATAAAATTTAATTTTAAATCAAATAACAAAAGCATCAAAATTAATAAATAAATGTTATGTTTCTCAATTAGTGGGTTTACAACAACGTTTTCACTTTTAATTTATTTACTTTAACAGGTAATTTAGTTTTGTTTTGTACAATTAAATATTTTATTTTTTTAATCAAATTACAAAACGCGCATACATGCGGATCCTTCATCTAGTTTCCTAATAAATTTTAATTTGAAAATGCGTTTTCTAAAATATTTTAGGAAACTCGATGAAACTTTAATTCTGTTTTGGAAACACGATGGAAACTCGTTTCGTAGAAACTCAAATTAGAAATACGACGAAAATATTCGATTTCGTTTTGGAAATGCGATGAAAAATTATTTCTTACGTAATAATTAAATAGTTTGGATATGTAGGGATATATTTATGGGTGAATTAGCTCAATATTAGTGTAAGAGAAAATAATTAGTTTACTAGCATAACCTCAATCAGATTTAGGTGATTAACGATTGGAAGGGTGAAGTGGATGAATTTGCCCCTGAAAAATAGGAAAAGGAAAATGGTTAAAAAATCCTTGATAATATTTTTGGATTCGCTGGAAATAAAAATCACCGTAAATCTCTTTAATCAAAAAAGCAATTTGGGCGAGGTCTGAAAGAACGAAAAAATCCAGAATGAGATTGATTTCTGCTTTTTTGATTTTGATTGAGTTATCACTAAATATTTCTTGTATCAGATCTGATTTTATCAGAATATACAACATTTATGGATATATTTTCTCTTGCTATATAACGGAAGTTGGTGATCCCTTGTATTGCTCATCTGCAGCGGCGTTAGGTCTAAAAAGGTGCAAAGAAAGGAGACGAAATTGGCAATGGTGAATATGATGGAGAAGAAGGCTGTCGAAGGATCTGGAAAGAACCAAGTGGTTAGTATAGTCGACTATTAATCAATATTTTTGTCTTCTTGTAGTTAGCTAAGTGTATAACTGATATAGTGAACTATTTTGTGCAGCTCCCGAAAGGATTGATGGTTGCTGTCATGTTGGGAGACTGGATATTTTGCCGAATGGTGTTTGGGATTTCAAGCCTAAGAAGGACGAGTTGTGCAAGTGTTTTATGCTGACTTCGAGAATGCGATTTAGAGAGTTGGTTGGTTTAGTGAAGGAAAAGTTTAAGATTGATGCAACCAAATCCATGAAGCTATCATACAGATGCCTTGTAGGGATGGTGGTGTGCGATGAGGAAACTATACCTCCCGCGTCGATAGCCAGTGATGACGATGTGAATGTATTTGAGGTGATTTGTAGTCATATCGAGAAGGTTACCTTGTGTGTAACGGTGCAAGGAATGGATGAAATGCATGGAACTGGAGAGAGAGAAATAATCTCGGTCCAGAACTCGGTAAGTGTATCGAAGCTAACCTTTTGGTTGAACTATATTGTAGGGTTGTATAGTTGAGTACATAAAAAATCAATATCGAAATTGTGTACTAGAGGCGTAGTGTAATTGACTATATGTAGTAGGAGTAAACTGTTTGTAGTTCACTCTCGTGTAGACTATCACATGTTTGTATTTACAAAATGGCTTGCCAACTACTTATGTGAAATTTGACTTTCTTGTGAGAATTGTTGTGGTTGGTTAGCGTATAGACTATCCCATGTTTGTAGTTTAATTTGGATTGATGTATATTGGACTGTTATATACATAAATGATTGGAACTAGACTATTCTTGTGAAAAATGTTGTAGTTGGCTAGCCTATACACTTTCCCATGTTTGTAGTTGACTTTTGCTGATATATATTGCACTATATATCATTAAATGATTTGAACTAGACCATCTTGTGAAAATTGTTCTAGATGGCTAGTGTGTTGCACTATGTGTGTTGTATTCTAATATCGGTATATTTGAACGTATTTATATAGGAACAGGGGCAGAGGGACGATTGACAAATGTGAAAGGCAAGGCTATCAGTCTGGATGAGGAGAGGTTATAGGAAGGCTTGTCTTTTGATAGTGATTCCGATGATGGTGATTGGCACAATTTCGCTATGATGGGGAGTGATGGCGAAAAGGGTGCAACTGAGGATCCAATTCCAGTCAGCAGAGAGGCTGGCGAATGCTCGCAAAAATGGCCATGTTTTTTGGAGGTAGATGATTCCGGTGAGGATGCAGATATTGAAGAGGACATGCTTGGAGAGAAGATTCGGCCATGTATACTGCAAAACTGTGCGGATGAGGCGTTAACTTCTGTGTTATCAAATGGAGTAGGCACTCTGAGGGACGCACCACCTGTACTGGAGGAAAGTGTAAATGCAGGTGACTCACCTCCACAATTTTGTATTTGTTTTTGGTAGTTGACTATTTTATTGATTACGTTAAACTATAGTCAACTATAGTACTCTCAATAGTTAACTATAGTATCATATACAAATTCATGATATAAACATTATGTTAATTGGTTTTAATGTTTATTTGTGGAGGCGTTGAAGGG